GACACACTTAGAAACGGTGGGCGGGGAGAAGCAGCTCATTTGCATTTAAAGCCACAGAGTACAAAAACAGCTACAGTAAAATTCTAGAGGCTATAATAAATAATCTGATGGGGATTTTGAGCTGAAACTTTAGACACATTCTGGAGACAACAAAGGTGTATCTTACATCTAGTAAAAGGGGTGAAATAGGTGCCATTTAAACTAAAGACAAGCCATGACTGAACATGAAGAATGATCTCTGAGTGGCGGTCTCCAAAATTAAACCTAGACTACACTCGTGCTTTAAATATTGTGCCCATCAAGATCATAAGGTGAGGTTTTATACTGCAAACTCACAGACTTTTTCTAACTCCTTATGGCTTGGTAACTTTATTTATCAGGGGTCGCCATAGCGGAATGAAGCGCCAACTTATCCAGCATACGTTTTATGCAGGGGATGCCCTTCCACCTGCAATCCATCACTGGGAGACACCCATACACAGTGATTCACACAAATACACTACAGGCAACTTAGCTTACCCAATTCACCTATATAGGGCTTGACTTTGGACTGTGGGGGAAACCAGGGCACCCAAGCGAGCATGTGGAGAATTCCAGACAGAAATGCCAACTGACCCAGCTGAGGCTCGAACCAGTGATCCTTTTACTGTGAGGTGACAGCACTACCCACTGTGCCACCATGCCACCCCATTTTCCTCATTTAAAATATAAAAAACATTTACAGATTGATATTTTTCTGATCCCATAACTCTGAAAATATAAACAGATGTTTCAATAATGTTAACATATGCTTTGTATTTATATTTTAAAGTTTTTACTGAAAATATAACATCCATAACGCTGGAATTGCTCACACAGGCCTATGTAAAGCTTGTACATTTATCTAACCACTTCTGAGGAATGGGGGTCAGTCGAGGGTCATTGGCATTGTTATTTTGGAGGTCGCAGGTTGAAAGCTTTGGGAACCCTTGATTTAAAGGGACACTGAGATACACACTACTATTTATTTTTAAAATACACAGTGATAACAGCTAACAATGGCCAGGTATAAGCTTATACCATGTAAAGTGTCAGTCAGTCAGCAATGTAGTTGTCAGACAAAATTCAGGTGAACACAACAAAAAAAAAAAGTATGCATAAATCCAGAAAATTACCATAGAATACAGGTAAAATCTTGCAATGGCAGGACAGGGTCAGAGCTTTTCAATTCCCTGTCAGACTACCATTTTCCCCAAGGATTTACTGTAAACTCTTATCCAGTACAGCTGTAGCCTTTTCACAAGACCCATAGGAGACAGAAAAAATTATTCCCAAATCGCTCAGTTCCTAAAAATATATTGACTTGAATCCCCTGACCACAAAACATTGACATCGTTTCCATGGCCTCATCCAAGAAAAACATTCAATAGTCCCTTGTTCATCATTTATAGCTCAAAAAGGTTATATGCTTGAAATAAATAATGCTTAAATTATTAATTATGCTTAAAACTTGAATTTGCAGTTCTTCAAAGCATAAACAGCATTAATTATATATTATTTGCACTGTATATATTATGATGTTCACTATTTCAACAATTGATTGCATGGGCTTCATGAGAAAACTGTGCTTTCCTTCTTCTTGATTATGTGGTTGTCTCAGAGCTGAGAAAATAAATTACAATTTCACCACTAAAGCTTTTTTGTGTTCAGAGCTGCACTTCATTCCTGTCACGGAGCGACGGGGCCCTGAATCAAGTCCCATTTTCACACCAACAAAAGCACTATTCTCTCTAGGCTAGCGGAGTGATGCTGTTACCGCCAAGTCACATTTAGTGGAAAACAATGTACGACATTCTGATTAAGACAAAAGCCTGGGCTTAGACTCAGTGCATTGGGTTAATAAAGGTATTGACCTACACAATAGAAAAAAAGCTTGAGGCCTTTTAACTGCACTGAGCTTCTCAATTTTAAGAAACACAAAAAGACAATTTTTATAGAAGCTTAATGCGCCTCTTTTCCATCCAATGACAGCTCAAAGCGAGCACACAGCTGTCAAGTTCAAAAGAGCCAACATGTAGTAGGCTAAGATGTGGATATAAAGCATGTGAGGGAAAAACAATGTCCTACACTGCACTGCTTGATGATAAATTATAAATTGAGACAATAATATAAATCTGACAATGGTAGATCAGTTTGTAGCCTAATCTCCTCTGCATGACACACAGTGAAAGACTTTCTGGAGCCCAAGTAAACGTCACATCCTTTTGATTTAACAGCTGTAATAAAAGTCAAAGGAGTCTGTCTGTTAGGCTTCTAATCTAGAACTATGCAGTCATATGAATCAGTCACTTTTACGCCATTATGTAAAATTGTTAACCATTTCAACACTTAGCTGCAGTTTCAATGTCATTAGACCTTGGCATATGCTTTAAATAATGAATAAAATAAAAATTTGGCCAATAAAACATGTTTGAAAAATAGCTTACTCACCCTTTATGCTGCTTATGTCATGTCCAGCCATGAAACTGAAGGAAGAGGAATGGGAGAATGTCTCTTGGAGGTGTACAATTGCTTTGTAATTATAACAGAGAAATATTTAGTAACTATTGAATAATAATATTAAGTAAATAATGTCATTCTTTTTTTATTTTTTTTTTTTATTCTTTGAATATGGCGAGATAGTTCGTGAGGTAAGAGCCTTGTGTGAACACACGTTATTTTGTGTTGGATCTTTTAAATATTGGTTGATTCAGCTCACAAAAGTAGTCCAAGTCCAAATAAGCCTAACAATCAGCCGGTGAGTTATAATTTTGCACATTTCCCAACACAGGAATGAAAAAATTAAAAATAAAATTATTTCCATTGAGGTAAGTCCCAGCAAGCATTTTTTTGTATTTAAAAGAGGTCTAAACATAGTCTTAGCTAAAACAAGGCTAAATTTGGGCTGTCAGTGAAAATCTGATGTCTAGGCCAAGACTAGTCATCAAATAAACAGAAATGAATGACTATGAAGTCTGTCTATGACCATCTGACGACTAGTCTAGTTTTGGACCATTTTCAGATGTCTATTAGATTTTTCACTGACAGCCTAAATTTTAGTCAAGTTGTCTAGCCTATACGTTTAGATGTCTATTATACGTTTAAACACAAAATTGTTTGCTGGGGTTGGTTTTATATTCAGCTTCTGACTCTCCCTGATATAATTTCAGAAAGAGTTATTTGCAAATTTTAAATACGGAAGTCAAATTAGCAACCAATGACCAAAGCTACAGCATTCAGTCAATTAAATAGTGCTAATAATGTTTTAAAATCATATTTGCATGTGATTTCATATCGAATATTCAAAGTTCGATAGTAAACAGCATAGGGAGCTAGTATCAAAAGTTGTCACTGAACGAATGTGCGTGCGAACGAAAAATAATTCTCAATTTTATTGCCAAACAACCGACGTGAACCGCGTGACTAGTCTAAAGGATGCGTCATGAAGTATTTGAACCGGTTTAAAACGTAAGTTAGACTAGACCGTTTGGTTATCACGGAATTCGAATAAAAAAGTTCGTTTCAGTCATTAAGTTAATTGAAACTACAGAAAGGTGATCAAGTTCATCAAACCCCTTTAATGTCTTTCTGCATCATTACCTACTCGCATGTTTCAGTATCTGCAGGCCTTATCCACAGCCTCCAAGTTGTAGTCGACCACTTTCCATCTCAGACCACTCATGCGACGTTGCGTGTACAACTTGGTAATACTGCATTTTTAACTTAGGTCGGTGCAGCAGATAATGCAAGGTGTTTCAGTTAATAACAGGGAATTGTTTCTTCACTGTAGTTTCCAGCTCACATCGATTGAATAAAGGATCAGGCAAACCGCAGGTGTATAAATGCACTCAATAGGTTAACTAGCCACAGGTGTGCAACTAGAAGGTTGACAAGGGGATAAATGCAAGTAAAGAACGACAATTAAACAAGACAGAATTTACATGAATGAGAATATGGACCCATCTGGCACTGTCTAAATCTGGATCTAGATCAGGATCAGCAGGCTGTCAGCAGGGTCGGGGAGTGCTTTTGGCATAATAACAGAAAGCTTTTTAATTGAATAAAGAACAAACTGTGACATGCAGTCACAATTATATAATTACTGTATCAAACAAGTATGTGCAGAGGTAGGTAGTGCAAAACAAAGACCCTTTATAAGTCATAAAGAGCATTTCTATTTATTATCTATTTCTAAAGTCTTGTGATTTTTGACTGACATGTTTTCAATTGACATGACTTTGACTGCCAAAATATTCCTGAAATATCTGTCAGCTATACAAGTTAATCTAAGAATTTACAGGAGGTTTTGAGCTTCAGTTAGTATGACTTAATAAACCACAATGAGTACATGTGTATTTGTTAATTATGAAAAAATAGAGATAACCCATGCAGTTACAGCCTATGAAGTAATCAGAAACGTTAATTGAGAAAGATCAAATGAATGAATTTCTGTGCTGATGTGGGAAAATGTTTCTTCTTTTTTTTTTTTTTGTATATCATGCCAAATAAACCCAGTAACTGCATTGTAGAAGTTAACAAAAAGCAGTTAGTGGCTTAACATTCCAGTGGACTTGAAATGAATGAGAAACAGAGAGAAACTCCAGGCACATTCTGTTCTTTAAATTCTGAATGAAATAGTTTTGGGACGACCGCTGTGTATCCATGCCAACATGATTCTTTTCTTCAGGGTTACTAGGCTCTTTGCCATCCTCAAACAGCCATTCAGTGAGAAAGAAACACACACACACACACACACACACACACACACACACAAAAAAAACGTGCTCTAGTACAAACTATATAACAAGCACTGATAACTAAAACTAGGAAATGTGTTATTTAAACAGTCACAAAGTAGATAGTTTTATACAGTACATCATATATAATCTCACATTTTTGTTGTACTACAAAAACCCCAAATCCGTGACCTACAAGGTAGTAACAGAGAAGTTAATGAACAATGCAACTGTTTTTAGTGAATTCGAACACAGTTTATTCAAATTACACAATTATAAAACACTTACGCTTTTCAAGTCTATCTGTATCAGTGTCTGCAGGATCTCAGAACTACAATTGTTCTATATAAAAATATTTTAAAATGTACATGTTAAATTCAAAACAGCAAAACTACTGGAACTCCACAAAGAGAAAACAGAGAACTGCGGACATCTTGACTAGTAATACGTCTCTCTTTCCACCCAACCTGCAATGAAAGATTTATTTTAGTAGATTTTTAAAAAATGCTGCATTCATACAGTACTTCAATATACGTTTGTAAAGTGATGTTTTAAAGTGCCTCTATTATGCTATTCGCTTGTTAAGTGTGACATCATGCAAAGCGGCTTTCGTGTCCAAAGGATCTGTCAAACTTTTTGCGGAGACTAATAATAAACGTTTACAAAGTGATGTGATGCTTTCGAAGATCACAACTGCGATGCTTTCGAAGATTACAATCACTATATATATATATATATATATATATATATATATATATATATATATATACCCATGCCTAATATCTGATGGCCAGAAAGTGATTAATTTTTTCAGAAATTGTTAAACTATAGATGTCTGTGGTGCAGCAAGTCCAGAAACTGTCGTGTACACCATGATTTTATATTAAATTTACTTAAATACGTGATATGACTAAAAAGGGTCATGATCAGCTTGAACACGGAAACAGTATTCCACACGTCACCGATACGTCACAACAAGCGTATTTAAAAGCTTCCTAAATTTGTTTTGGAGGTCAAAAACTCTTTAATTTTTTTTCACAATACACTGTGGCTTCACCTCAGTTAAAGGATTTTCTCAATTCAAGTATCCAATTTCTCTAAAATTACAGATTTCTCTAAAAATTCTCTCTAAACCTTCAGTGATTGATAAGATGGCCAAGCTTGTTCTGACTGGTCAATTGTTTAAATTTATGTTGGAAATGGGCTGCATTCCACTCAACTTTTAAAAATGCTCTTGCAAACTTTGCTTCCCTTGTTTCCTTGAGGGTACATTTTAAAGTGCATCCCGCTTCATCAAGTGAACTAGGGAAGCATACATGGACACACCCTCGATCCTTCGATTTTGATCGAGTTAACACGTTGGCTTCATATGTCTATTCTAGCACCTATATGTCCCAAGATGCGATGTGATTGTGATGTCACAACAGTGTAGTGCTTAAGTGTTTCGGGCATACCTGCCAACACTCCCGTTTTCCCAGAAGTGTCCCGTATTTTAAACCCATCTCCTGCCACCCTCCCGTTTTGTTATTTTTTCAGGAAAACTCCCTTAAACTCACTCTCAACCATCCACCCCCACTCCCCCACCCCGTCCACAGCTTTTTGGTACAGTCTGTAACACCCCTGGGTCACCAACTATGGTATGTTTGGCAAATGTTGGCAGGTATGGTTCAGGGCATTCCATTTAAAACCATTCAGATGTTCCCCAAGTAGTAAAAAATTATCAGTGATGTAGGGTTGTCACAATACTGAAATTTTAAAAACATGCATTCCCTGTGAACATTTCAGCGCCGTGGAGCACGTTCTGAAACAGCGCTGATTTACCACTGTGTTCAAGAGCTCAACAGAAATGACTGTGATTGGCTGTGAAGGTCATCAGCTCACAGAACTCACCATTGTTTACTGTGTGTAACAACAGATACAGGGACAATGGAGCATTTCAAAGTCACGTCATCAGCTGGTTTGTCTATAAGTTGACATACGAGTGATCCGCTGATGAATCACGGCTTTCCAGTGTCCCTGTATCTGTGGTTATACTCAGTAAGCAGCAGTGAGTTTGGTGAACCGATGACCCTCACAGCCAATCACAGTCATTTCTGTTGAGCATGTGAACACAATGGCAAATCAGCGCCGTTTAAGAACGTGCTCCACAGGGCTCAAATGTTCACGGGAAATTGACATTTTTTAAATTTCATTACTGATTGGTATGAAATTCTAGTATCGTGACAACCCATCAATGACGTACATGTGAGTGAATGAGATGGAGGGAAGTTGGCAATTAAAGAGCATAAATAATAGGACTGGAATGCTGCCATGGAAGTGAAATCCAAATAGGATTCTCTCTTACATAATACTAAACAGCATCTTCATTACATGACGACAGCCAAAATCTTCCTGGCCATCTCTCTGAAAACATGTTTTTTACTAATTTTATTTTGAATCTAAGAATGATAACAGAACCTTGTTACGAGTTTACTGGACAATTGAATCAGGAAATTCAGGAAATTGCTGGCTGCAGTTCACTTAACGGCCACTGGTGTCACCAATAACACAGGTGACTTTTACCATTTACGTATTTTGCAGATGCCTCTATCCAAAGTGACTTACGTTTCATTAAAGGTAGACATTCTATCAGTGATTACTATCCTTTGGAATTATTCTAGAATATGAAAGCTTAACATTCACATACATTCGTAACACACTACATACATTGAAGCATAATAGAGACACTTTAAACCCTTAAATGCAGTGCAGCTAGTTAAAACAAGTATATGTTTTGCTGATTACCTCCTGGGTTTCGTCTAAGGATGAGCTTTCTCATTTCATCATAAATAAAGATGAGAAGAGAGTACGGGAAGGCACAGAACCACCAGTTGGGCCTGTAGATAAAGTGCAGAATGTAAACTAAAGAAGCAGACAAGAAATAACTGCAAATTTTGATTCATTAAAAAAAAGAAGATTTTAGCCTACTTGAGAGGGTACATTCTGAGAGCCACATCCATGCCAGGGCAGTAAGACAAGAAAGCCGCCAAAGCCGTTTCCTCAAACAATCCAAAGATCAGGATTTTGTTCCTGTAGATGTAAGCCAACAAATGTGGTGAATAGACGATACATAAAAGAAAATCTTCTGAAGAACATGGCTTATGCTCTTTCAGAGCTCATTTGTTCTGCTAGACTCACTTCATTCCCTGCTGGAAGACAGAATTGCGCCTGGTCTTGCAGATAATCAGATCGGCCCACTGCACGACCACAATGCTGGCGAAGAACGCTGTGTGGCAAGTGAACTCCACAATCTTCCTCTGCTCATATGTCTAAGAAAAAGAAATTACTTTTGTTATACAGTTATTTATAAATATAAAGTTAAAGGGATGGTTCACCTCGAAAAATGTCATTATGTCATCATTTACCCATCTTCCACTTGTATCTGCTTGAGTTTCTTTATGTTAAAGATAAAGGAAGATATAATGAACAATGATGGAAAAATAGGCATTGACTTCCATAGTATTTTTGGTTCCTACTAGGGATGTCAATGATGCCTTTTCCCCAACATTCTTCTGAATATTTTGTTTAGTGTCCATCAGAATAAAGAAATTCATAAAAGGGTAGAACCATTTGAGTAAATGATGAGAAAATGTTCATGTTCTGGTGAACTGTCCCTTTTGGCTTTGGAGTTTTTGTTATTTGTCTGCTATCTTTAAACCATTTAAATTGTTTATATATTCATGAAAAATATTATGAAAAAACTTGTTTGTAGTAGGTATTTACTTCATTTTTGGTCAAACAATGCAGTCTTCGTACCTTCTTACAATGGAGAAGATTTGGTACTTACCAAAGGTTGCAGTCAAAAATGTTATCTTATTTGGCAGCCAGTGCTGACATATATAAAACAAATGGATCCTAACTTAATATTTTCAGTTTGATCGTTGTTTATTTGTTTCTCACATTTTTCCCTCCATTTTCACTACATTTTAATTTCTATCTAATTTTTTTATTTCTTTATTTTACATTTGCTAAGCCTATTGTGACTCGTTGTGTGTGTATATATGTAGAATAGATGAGTGAAAATATAAAACAGATTAAAAATAGGGATAACATATTGTTTAGATATAGTGCAGTGGGGCGGAGGGCTCTGTTGGAGCAAGGATAATTTGTCTCTGTTTTTCAAATACTTTTATAATTGATGTTTTATTGACCAAAATGTTAATAAAAAGATTTGAAAAAAACAAACAAAACAATGCAGTCTTCATTAACATTAGAGACAGTTGTAATATTGTACAATTGTCAACACTAGTTTATGCATTTTTTTATTCTTTTTATAAATTTATATATCCTAAAACTTACCCACTGTTGCCCATAACTGTCCTCCAGGTCATTAATATGCTTGTCATCCCAATATACACGTATTCCTAGTAGTCTTGATGGTAAAAAGCCATTTTCAGAAAGAATGACAAAATAGGTGAAAAATCCAGCCAGAGCCTGAATCATACCTGCAGAAAGAGACCTTGCATTATCATTACATCCTGAAAGTAGTTTTTAAAAGATTTAGATCAGCGATATTTCTTCTTCTTTGTTTTTCTTTCTTTTCATTGACCAAGAATGCATTAAATTAACATTAAATACATTTATAATATTTCATTTTAAAACTGCTTTAGCCTTCTAACACTTACACCATAAATTCTGTTTTATATTTCCATATAAATGAATAAATACACAAGACCAACTGGGACTTGTCACAACACTTACACGACAATGCTATTTAGTTGATTTTAGATTCCATCTTGCTTTCATCTCAAGAAACTGTTAAAGATTAATTTTTTTCATCAACCACTGACTATCCTTCACTTTATTTTTATTATCTTGCTCTGACTTTCTAATACAAACACTCTCTCATCTCTTATATACATTTAAATGCAAAATGATTGTCCCTCCTGTGAAATTTGCACTATATCTCAAATATAAGAAGATTTTTAATCAAAGGTTTTACTAAATAATTTCTAATAACAATTTTTGTTGGGTTTGCTATGATGTTATTTTGCAATATAATAGTATTCAGCTGCAATTTTCTGCAATTTAAAAGGGCAATTTAAGTTTTATTTTTATTATTAATATTTACTGCTTTTATTACAGCAAAACAAAAGGAAATAATACTTTTTTCAATATAAAATAAAAAAAATAAGTAAAAGGAAATACTGTATAAAATGTCTTTGCTCTGTTAAACAACACATTTTTAAAATAATAAATTTTTACAAGAGGGCTATTGTTTTGCCTTAAACTCAATTTATATTTATTTATTTTTTATTAAAAATGCTTTAATATTCTTTCTCTTTTTTTTATTTTCTTTTTATCTCAAAATCAAACACCCTCACTATCTATTCAGTATTATCTCCCTTTTGTATACAGCCATCTATATGAAACAATTTAAAAGCTTAATGCAGCATTCTAGAAGATGTTTTTATATTGAAAATATAATTAAACACAAATAAAACTAATAATTTCAGCATTTTAAAGCACTGCCATTCAAGCTACCGCAGCAAGCCACAAAATCACCACCTACCTATCTGTCCATATGCGATGCTAATAAGTCTTTCATTCACCAACTTGTCCGTTTTAGGGTTTCTTGGCTGCCTCTTCATGATATCGCTCTCAGCAGCCTCGTACGCCAGAGAAATAGCAGGCAGCTTCAAAACAAATGATTAACTGTCATCTCCCATGAAGCTACAAAACCCAATTGAAGTGTGAAAAAGGAAATAACCCAGTGTTTTCGCCACTGACCATGTCTGTTCCCAGATCAATACACAGAATGGTCACAGTTCCAAGAGGCAAGGGGATGTTAGCGATAATGAAGAGCAGGAACGGTGTGATTTCAGGGATGTTGCTGGTCAGGGTGTAAGCAATGGACTTCTTCAGGTTGTCAAAGATAAGACGGCCTAAAGTAGAAAGGAAAGAGTAAGAAAGTAGCACAACGCATTGAGGAGATGAGGGGAAAATGAGTCTTCTGTACCTTCCTCTACACCTGTGACGATTGAGGCAAAGTTGTCATCCAGAAGGATCATGTCCGCAGCCTGTTTGGACACGTCTGAGCCAGCAATGCCCATAGCGACACCGATATCAGCCTTCTTCAGGGCTGGAGAATCATTCACACCATCCCCTGTTACAGCCACTATAGCTCCCTTTGAAACAGAATTGATTGTTATTTTTAACATTAAAAACATTATGTAAAGGGAATTCAGAGGAAGACTTGTGCTTGTGTATTAGGATAAATGAGAGCCACTTATTTTGTATATTAATTTATTCAAAAAGATGTCAAATCCTATGGTAACAGTAGGTTAAAAATCTAATAAAATGTATAAAATACTATTAAAAATAAACAATAAAATATGTAATTATATGTAATTTAAATGTAAATAAGAAATTTAAATATGTCTATTTAATAAGGTTATTAAAGTATAAAAATGTCAAGTTTACTTTTATAGCACTTTTCACAATGTGAAAAAAATAGTTCATAAAGAAATGTAAAACTGCTTTTATTCTAGCCAAAATAATACAAAGTAGACTTTCTCCAGAAGAAAAAATATTATCCGACATACTGTGAAAAATTCCTTGCTCTGTTAAACATCCTTTGTGAAATATTTAAAAAAGAAAAAGAAATTCAAAGGGGGGCTAATAATTCTGTCTCCAACTGTAATTAGGTTAACTAGGCAGGTTAGGGTAATTAGGCAAGTTATTGTATAACGATGGGTTGTTCTACAGACTGTTGAAAAAATAAATAGCTTAAAGGGGCTATTAATTTTGACCTTAAAGTGGCTTTTAAAAAAATTAAAACCCAGTTCCTTACCTGTCGCTGACAGCCTTCAACAATAATCAGTTTCTGCTGTGGTGACGTTCTGGCGAACACTATTTCAGTGTGGTGCTTCAGAATGTCATCCAGCTGTTCACACGAGAGGTCCTTCAGATCTCCTCCGTGAACCACACAGGCCTTTGCATCTCTAAAAACAGAGATTTATTGAATTATTCGATTCACGTCAAGGCAGATTACATTGGCTTCTTGAGTAAATGTAACATGCTGTGATACCTGGGGTTCACCTCATTGACAGGAATGTTCAAGCGAGCGGCAATATCTTCCACAGTCTCATTACCTTCAGAAATAATCCCAACACCCTTCGCTATGGCTTTAGCAGTGATGGGATGGTCACCGGTAACCATGATAACCTAATGGTTCAGAAATAAATTGTTATTTAAAAAGGTTACACGTTTTTATTTAAATATGGGGATGCACAAGTATGGACATTTTGATAACCATTGATTCTACATACAGTATTTAGAAGCCGTTAACAAATACTGTAAATAAACAGATAAATACAAATTATGATGAATGTAAAATGATACAGTGGAAAAACACATTTTATTTTTAAACTGAAACTGCAGCAAATGTCTTTGTTATGTACTGTAAGTCATTCTTGGGAGGGAACAGAGACATTATTTTGGGACTGACAAGTGTAAATTTTGTTATGCCCATTTGTCTGTTCCTGACATAGCTCGTAGTGACCGACTGAAAGTGAACAAGTGGATTACCAGAAAAGGTTTAGATACTTCTTTTCCCAAAAATCATTTACAAATTGGAATTCTGAAGTCCACTATTTATTCTGATGAAAAACTCCAGACCAGTCAAAACAATCAACCAGTTAATTTCAATATGGCTTTGGCTTTATTGTAATACTCGCTTTTAAACATTCTGTTGATCATAAGTAACCTTGTAACATCCTTACAATAACTCTCATTTACATTAATATTTAGCAGTTGCTTCTATCCAAAGTGAAACTTAAAAAGCTCAAAGGATGTGATGGTTTGAGCAGTCTGAATAGACAGAAAGTTCTGTTTATGAATAATGAATAAATTATGAATATTATGAATAAATAACACTCAGAGTTCAGAGTTCACACTTAGCTGATGATTGATAATAAAGCATGTTTGGCATGCCCGGGAGAGAGCCCTGAGCTTATAGGATCCTCAAACCCTGGACTCCCTCCCATTAGCAGGGCAAGAGGGGAGTTTGAGCTTAGGTAGATCTCGATGAACTCCCCAGACTTATTTCTGGCTAATGACAGATATAGGATAGCTAAGGAGAGATGTACACTTGCTAAGAGCTTGGCTATGGTATCAATTTGGTATGTTCAATTTACTTGGGTTGCGTGTTTTTGGATTGTGAGAGGAAACCAGAGAACCTGGGGAAAACCCACACATGCACTGGGAGAACGAGCAAAATCCGCACAGAAATGTCAACTGGTTTAGTAGGGACTTTAACCAGAAATATTCTAGCTGTGAGGCAACAGTGCTAATCACTGGGCCGCCGTGTCACCCATCTGGAAATGAGGGGAAGTATGGGGTGTGTAGTGGGGATTCTTCAGGATGAACATACTGAGATAAGAAAACTCTGGTTATTTATAGTGAGTTAGGAATCATCTGATTGGTGAATAAATTGTGAGCTGATGCAGGATCAGTTGTTAACAATCATAAGCACATGATCCTCTCGAAATTAGTGTGTAAATAAACTTCACTTGGTTCTATTTGATTTTAATCAACATTTAAGTTTGTCTTCATCTCTACTATTTACTTGCTATGCATTTCTCACTCAGAAAACCCTAGTTAAGTTAAACTGAGTGCAATTTTGTTAAGTTAGTTTTTAGATCCTAGCATGCTGTGCTTTAGAATCTAAAAGTGAATGTTAAATTAAACAGTAAATGCTATTCTGTTTATAAGGGAATATATAATGCTCCATTTATGACTATTTTAGTCCATTTATGACCAGATTAGAGCCTGTGGATAGGTATAGAAAGGATCTTTAAATAACTACACTGCAAAAAATGCTTTCCTTTCTAAGAGTTTTTCGTTTTTTCGTCTTGTTTCTAGTCCAAATATGTAACAATTATTAAATCAAGAAGTAATTTCTAGACAAGAAATAAATATTGTTTTGTTTTTAGAAATAAGTAAAATTTTATTGCGTTTTACTTAAAAAAAGCAAATAAATAATGTAATTTCTGCTTTGGAATAAGATTACACAAAACTCTTTTCTCCAAGATTAGTAAAACAGGACGTTTTTTTACTTGTCTATGAAATGCTTTTTAATTTAAGAATATTTAGATGTTTGAACTAGAAACAAGACAAAAACTCTAAGTAAGAAAAGCATATTTTGCAGTGAAGATTATATGACTTCATTTAAAAATAAATGCCACAGTTACTAATCTAGAGGTAGACTCTGGTTATGTTAACATCCTATAACTAGCTAGATAACTGAATCACTTATTTTACTACAGTAAGGCTGTTTTTAAAAGAGGTAATTTAGCATATTTTAACAAATAAATCAAGTGACTGTAAAAACAACCAAAATACTGAGCTGAAGTAAATTTTACATTATTTTGCTCAACTTCACTAACTAACTAACTCAACTAAGAATAAATGACTAGTATATTAAAGTTCAAATTAATTTGTTGTTAAAACTAAAAGGTGTTTATTTACTTAGAGTCATTAAGATATTCAACAGACACAACTTTTAGTCAACAGAATTTCCCTTACATATTAATTTCAGCACATTGATTTAGATCAGTGCTTTACCTTGATTCCAGCACTTCTGCATTTGCCTACAGCATCAGGAACAGCAGCACGCGGAGGATCAATCATTGACATGAGACCCACAAAGCACAGATTCTCAGTAGGGAAATTCACATCCTCAGTATCAAACGGAAAACCTTCTGGAAACTCTTCGTCCGGGAGGCAGAAATCACAGAATCCTGTGAGAGAAGACAATGTGAATGATCAGAACACCATGTGCTTAGATGATCTCTACCATAGCAAATGCTTTTTTTTACCCAAAACTCTTTCTCCAAGGCCTCCAAGCTCCAGGTAAGCATTCTGAAAGGCTTCTTTCATTTCATCATCCAAAGCTTGCACCTTTCCTTGGATCAATATCGTAGAGCAGCGGTCCAGGATTCTCTCTGGGGCTCCTTTCATCACCAGCAGATGCTTAGACTCTGTGCCACCATTTGGGTTCTTATGCACCGACAGCTATTAATATGAGGATCAAAAATATTCAAATAATGATCAAATGTTTTTAGTAGAATATGAAAAGTCCTGCTGTCAATTGATATTTACATTGTGTGATTAAAGTTAGTTTGCCTCAATCTGAAATCACTGTTATCATTTACTGGCTCTCATGTCATCCCAAACTTCTAAGAAATTTGTTCACCTTTGGAACAAAAATTATGATGTTTTTAATTAAATAATAAGACAGACTTCTTTCCCTCCTTCAATAGTCTGTTCTAAGACTTAGATGCTTCAAATTATTGATAAAGAGTAAAAATAGATCCATGAGGTGAGGGTTCTAGTCCAAGTCCTCTGAAGACGTGATTGTTTTATTAGACTGAGAGACCATAAAACATTGATGCATAAACAATGTTTATAGCATTACAGCATGTTGGTCATGGAAGCTCAAGAATTTTGATGGAACTAACCCATTAAGCAGAAAAAAGAAAGGTTACTATGAGGCTTGAAATCCAGCATCATGATTTTGAATGTACACACATCAACACAGACACTATTTTAAGAAAATTGCATATTTTAGAATTTAAAATTCATTGTTGTTTATGCAATTTGTATGTAAGATCGAGATCAGTACCTGATATTTGTTTGTGGAGTTAAAAGGGATTTCCGCCACTTTGGTGTACTTTTCTCTCATATCTTTCACTGATCCACAGCAAAGCTCAATGCACTTCAGCAGGGCAGATTCAGACGCATCTCCAGCAACATCTCTCTAAACATTGAAACACAAGTAAGATATCTGATCAAAAACATTACTTTTTAACAATCTTTTATTGTTGTTATTATTATACAGTATTTGTTTCTAAAATGTAATTTATTTTTGTGATGGCCATATCACAAGAAATCATAAACTATTTGATGGAAGTGATTTAATGTAGATTTGCATTAAAACACACAAATTTGACAGCAAAGTAGGTATTTTAGAAATAATGTTAGAAATATGCAAGCAATATTCTAAGTCATACTAGCAACTTCATGCTAGAAACCTGATAATTCAAGTTAGAAACATGCTAGCAACATGCTAATTTATGCTACACTGCAGAAAAAAATAAATAAATCAAAATCCAAATATGTAAAGCTTTTTTTTCTTGTTTTAAGAAATAATATTAAGATAATTAACCAAATTAAATATGTTTTCATTAAAACAAACAAAATAATCTGCCAATGGGGTAAGCAAAATAACCTTGTTTTTCCTTCCTTACCTTTCCTATTGTAAGATAATTTTGCTAACCACATTGACAGATTATTTAGCTTGTTTTATGGAAAAACTCACTTAATTTTGACAATATTTCTTAAAACAAGACAATATGTTTGGCTGCTCTAGACAATGCTTCTCGATTAAATATTTTTATATCTTTGGATTAGACAAAAAACAGAAGAAATATAAGGCCTAAATAAAACAAGAAAAATTTTCCAGTGTACCAATATGTTAGAAACATGCGAGTCATGTTGGCAAACTACTGACTTTCTTTACAGTTTTGCAACTGTTATATTTACATATCAGAAATATACCACACACTGGATTGTTTAAAATTAATGAATTAATTACCATCAAAAGTCAATGTATAACTTGTGCACTGGCCTACTGTATACACCCTGTAAAATAGGTTAATCGGCTTATTAATTACTGCCGTGGATCACATTTAAAAACACACCTTCAGAATTGGCACATCAGTCTGTTCAGCTAGGAATACAGCCCTGTTGCAGAGCCCAGCAACGCGGGCCAGTGAGGCCCAGGTGGCTGAGCTACGGTCAAAGCTGGTGCCACTCTGATTCTCTGTGGTGTCGGCCTCGTGGATCTGGTTATCAAACCACATGTGAGCTACGGTCATACGATTCTGCGTTAATGTGCCAGTTTTATCAGAACAGATGGTTGAGGTTGAGCCCAGGGTTTCAACAGCCTCCAGATTCTTAACCAAACAGTTTTTCTTAGCCATACGTTTAGCTGTGAGGGTGAGGCAAACCTAAAGAATGAGCAAACAGAGGGTAGGTGTTAGTGTTGTCACGATACTGGAACTTTGATTTGATATCTTGAAAAATATTAATATTCAAGACCATTTTCAATACTGTGGGTAAATTCTGCAACATTAAAAGTATGCAAATGAAGTAAAAAGAAAGAAAAATAAAATAAAATGATATATCAGCAGTCCAAAAGGCAATAAATTACAAAAAAAAATTATTAGTGCAATCTCAATTTATTTTCTGATTAAAAAAGTGTTAAAATCTTAATATTGTTATTAATTATACATTTTTCTTCTGGTGCGAGAGAGCAAAGCCAGTATCTACACTAACCAAAAGTATGATTATATTATTTTAAATATATCAATATCAATATTTTTGACAACACTAGAAGGTGTCTTAAATATATAAGAGCTTTTCAATAAAGTATAGGTTGAAAGAAACTTACTGTGACTGTAGCAAGGAGACCTTCAGGTACGTTGGCCACAATGATGCCAATAAGAAAGATAACAGCCTCCAACCAGGAGTAACCAAGAGCAAGAGATAGGACAAAGAAAGAGACACCCAGAAAGACAGCCACGCCAGTGATGATATGGATGAAGTGCTCAATCTCAATAGAGATAGGGGTGCGTCCAACCTCCAGACCAGATGCCAGTGTTGCAATTCGGCCCATTACTGTACGGTCTCCAGTGCTGATGACGATGCCGCGAGCAGTGCCTAGAACAAATGTGAAGTACTGTATGAGGACACCAAAGTATCAGGCTGTTATTCCTTTTTTTTGAAGAGAGTCAATTATTGCCATTTATTGATATAATAGGTAATAATCAAAGTACAAAAGTAAATAAAAATGTCTATAAATGTATTGAATTATAAATATGTGCAATTAATGTGGTTATAAAGTGCTTTAAAGCCTTTAATCACATGTTTAAAATAACATTGTTCATTATTTAGTAAGCCTATAACTGCTTAAATCAGTAATTAAAATGACCGTTTTCAACTATGTCAGCTCATTTGTCATCAAAATACATTATAGCATGAATTTTTCACACATTTATTCATTCATTTTCGGCTTAGTCCCGGTTCATAAATGAATCACTAACTTTTCCAGCATATGTTTTAGGCAGCGGATGCCTTTCCAGCTGCAATCCATCACTGGGAAACATCCATACACTCATTCACACACATACACTAAGAACAATTTAGCTTATGCCGAGTTCAGACTGCATGATTTTCAAAGTAGTCGTGTCACAGATGTTTTCACACTGCATGACTATCTGGGCTAGCGTTTCGTCACTGCTTTGTTTACACTGCAAGATGTATCTGCGACAGGGGCTTTCACATTGCATGACTTTACCATAGGAAGAATCGCCGACAACTTCGTCCAAACTACGTCTCACAGCCAAAAACACGTAGTATATCTGTTGTTTTTAACAACATAATGAGAAAGAAGCCTTTAATGGGGTAGAAAATGTACATATTTGCTCACCTGGGTGTAAAGTGAATTAGTCATTTCTCCTTAACTTAAGTTGATAATAAACTAATTTCTTTCTGTATGAAACGTCAAACAGACAGTCTGCTCCTGAGTCCTGTCAAACCTCCACTAGTTTTTCCTCCATTTCGTGGGTCCAAATAAATTCACACAGCATGATTTGAATCGCCGACAGCTCTAAATATTTACGCCAAATATCTCGCAGGCATCGGCGACTCATCAGCGATTCTCTCAGATCACGTCTTTGATAGGTCATACTGTGTGATTGTCACTCACGTGCACAAGCACCGATTTGCCTGTGATTTCAGGCATTTGTCAGCGATTTCTCAAAACCTGTCAGCGAGCCAAAATCGAGGCTAAAATCACGCAGTCTGAACTAGGCATTAGACTCATGGTGCATGCACTCACCTTATTTATTAAAAACAGTAGTTTTGTTAAGGAATTAAAAGCTTTTGAGTATATCAGGCAATTTTGTAAATAACCCTATTACAAATGCAAATGGATAAAATTACTGATTTAGGTAAGATTTACTGGTTTGTTGAGAAAAAAAAAACATAACTAGTTTGCAAAAGTGGGTGTATTAGGCAAATATTTAACAATCGGTTTGATTGACAGCTTTGGATCTTGAGGCAAAGTTAATAATAAGATTTAACATATGATATGAATATTTTGTATGAGCATGAAACCAAGAGTTAAACAAGAAACAACATTTTTGTTATAATTTAACCTCTGTTAATCTTATCTGTAATCCTATCTAATCTGCCTAATAGATGTTCAAATTTCATTGGTCGATGGCAGCCATGTTTTTTGAGAAACGCTAGTGCCCACACACAAATAAGTAGCACCTTGAAGAAAGATGCTGCATGCCAAATTCCCAGTAAAGTAAATAATTAATAAATTGTTAAAGCTGTTTTTGTATTTTAAATTGTAACTTATTTTTGGTATGTGTTTGTCTATAAAACTTATAGGCACTTTAGGTCTACGAAAACTACAGTTTGTGAGTTATAAGCACTTTACATTTTTGATCGTTGAAACTCCCCCTTTTTAGATCTTAGTAGCAAGCATACCTCCCATGATTAGACCAAGTTATGCCAGATTAATACAATAATAATAATGCTTCAAATTCTTATGAAAACAATGAAGTTTCAGTATTTTTAACCCCTAATGGATGATCTTAACAGATATGAGAACAGAAGCAAAACATTTTACTAAGCATGAAATGTGAATAAGACTATAAAATACCTTCAACACAGTTGGTTGAGAAGAAAGCAATATTCCTGGTCTCTAGAGGATTATCATTTGAGTAATCTGGGGACCTTGTCTGAGGCTCTGATTCTCCAGTCAGAGATGAGTTATCCACCTTAAAACATCCAAATTAAAGGATATTTTTACATAATGCCACTGCTACAGAAATAAATGTTAAATTCTCACTACACTGATAGGCAAGGTTAGGTAAGAGACTGAGGCCCATAATAACCTTGCAGCCGTGTGAGGCTATGATTCTCAGGTCAGCAGGGATCCTGTCACCACCTTTTACTTCCACCAGATCACCAACCACCACTTCTTCAGCATTAACATGATTCTTCTCACCGTCACGGACAACCAACGCTTGCTATGATGGAAAAAAAAGTTTATAATCTGAACAAAAAAAAAAACATATAAGAAGACAAAACTACAATGTATTTGATAAATAAGTATAACCAAAAATGAAATTACGTCATCTTTTACTTGTTCCACACCTGTTTTGATATTGTAGTTGATATATATATATATATATATATATATATATATATATATATATATGTAGTTGATATTTTAAAAAATATTAAGAAAAAAAACAGTAGCCACAGTATTTTTTCCTCTTACAATAGACTTCAATGGCTACCAGTTTGCAACATTCTCCAAAATATCTTCTTTTGTTGTGAACAGGAAATAGACACTCTATTGTTGGGTGAACTATCCCTTTAAAGACATACAGTAAATATGAAAGAAACATTTACCTGTGGAACCAAATTCTTGAAGGAGTCCATAATTTTGGAGCTCTTGGCTTCTTGATAGTATGAGAAACATCCAGTGATGATAACCACAGCTGAAAGCACAACTCCTAAATACAGCTACATTGAACAGAAGTATAAACCCAATTAGATATCAAATAGTAAAAATGCGTAACGCATATTAAATACATTCCCCTCTCACATTGTCATTGGCTGGCTCATCCTCCATTGCTGCCTGAATGCCATATGCAAGAAAGCAGAGAAGGGCACCTGTCCACAACAGCATGGAGAAACCTCCAAACATCTGCTTACAGAACTTGACCCATTCTGGGGTGGTTGGAGGGGGGGTGAGAGCATTGGGTCCATCACGGGCAAGAATTTCAGCAGCGCGGGCAGTTGTAAGACCCTGATGAAGTCACAGATAAGCCTATATTCATCATTATTCATTGAGATTTATTAGATTTATGTGTCAATGAAATTCTCATCTAACTTACTCTGTTCAGATCTGTTCCATATTTACGGTTGAGCTCTTCCAAAGTCAGCTTGTGATCATCCTGGAACACATTTTACATAGAAAGATTCAAGCAACTGAATTCAGAGCGTGTAATACGCAACAAGACTTTAAGTCTTACCAAATCCACTTCCTTTTTCAATTCATCCATGTCTTTTTCTTTCTTCTTGTTTTTGTTCTTCTTCTTCCCTCCTTGCTCCGAAGTTGCCGCCAGTTCATACTGGTCGCGTCCATCCTGAAAACGATGTTAAAAACATTCAACATTTGCTCCAGAAAATCTTAAGGCTCTGACAGTTGTCTACAGCAGGGGTTCCCAAACCTTTCAGCCTGCGACCCCCAAAATATCAATGCCAATGACTCACGACCCACAATATCTTTTGAGGTAGTCATAAATATATAAATCTTGCACACAACAGCGCACAAAAAACCAAAACGGCCAACTCTATTCATCGTTTAATTGTGGAAAACGTCTCTCGGAGACCCTGCTCCCTGTTCGGTTGTGGTCTGTATGTATCTTTAATGTACAAGAGTGCCGTAATGGTGTCATAAAGTTTAACCTAGTGCCATAAAATCAATCTGCTGCATCAGATGATATTGCTGTGTCTTTAATATAACGTAATCGCCCCAAGGGTCGCAAAAAAAAAAAAAAAAGAAAGGCTGATGGCTTTTTATTTCCATGTTATTTTTAAAATGTTTATTATTAACATGTTAACAATGATATTAACAGCTACTATTTTGTTCTACAGTAGGTTATGGATAAAATATGGTCATTCTAATAGTTTAATAAAATGAATGAAATAGTTCAACCCAAAGTTAAAATTCTGGCATCATTTACTCACTTGTTCCAAACATGTTTAAGTTTCTTTCTTCGGTTAAACACAAAAGAAGATATTTGTAAAAATACTGGAAACATGTAATCATTGACTTCCATGGTATTTGTTTTTTTTCTACTATGGAAGTTGGTGGTTACAGGTTTTCAGCCTTTTTCCCAAATATTTTCTATTGTTTTTAACAAAAGAGCAAAAAATTAAACAGGTTTATAACCACTTGAGGATGAGTAAACAGTGATAAAATTTAAATTTTTGTAAACGAAAGAAAGAAAGAAAGAAAGAAAGAAAGAAAGAAAGAAAGAAAGAAAGAAAGAAAGAAAGAAAGAAAGAAAGAAAGAAAGAAAGAAACTGAATATTTTACAATTTACTCTCATGTTGTTTCAGTATACTGTATATGACCTTTTGGGTATAAAAAATAAAACCCTGCTAGTTGTAACCATAAAAGGTGTCAGTAAGACTTGAGTGCTATTAACATCTGTGACCAGATCATTGAGTCACTGAATTGCAACTGACAACCTGGGCTGCGTTTCCCGATAACGATTGATCTTAGCACTTAAGAGCGTTTTCTACGAGTCATTTTGCGAACGTTCGTTATTGTTTCACGTGCGTTTCCCAAAAATGCACTTAACACAATTGCACGTAGCCCAGCTTTAAGTGCAACTTAGGAGTCGCTATCCGTTTGTTAAGTGCTGAAATGTCACGCTATAGAATGGCTCGTTATTGTTGCACATGTTATAGCAATCCATATAATTCTTCTTCTACTTGTGTGAATGTATATTCAACTCGAATAACATAAAAAAAAATATTTTTGAGCCAGTTTAAAAACATAAATTAACTGGAAATGTCGTACTGTAAAAACACTGTCTTGCTCCAATCTCGCATAAAACTAATTCTAACAGTCCTTGCCGGAAATGACATCAGCATCATTTTCGATATTTATATGAAACCTTAATTAAGTAGAATTATTTATCAATTTCTTTATCAAAAATTGCTTATCTCACATCAAAATAAATAAATAAGTAAATAAATAAATAAATAAATAAATAAATAAGCTCTTACATTTATTTTTTTCTTTATTCATTATTATTTGTATATTGAATTGTGTAATGTGTAGAAAATATAAATGAATAGAGATATACGTACAAATAAAATGAATAATGACTTTGAAGAGAAGTAAATTGTAGGTGCAATTTGCCGGTTGTCCAGCAGGTGCCCTCATAACTCTGTCTCCTTACGATGCACTTAAGGCTTTACGATTACTCCAGAGCACTCGTAGATCCACGAAGATTTTCAAGTGCTACTTAAGTTACGATGCTTTTGGGAAACAGACCGTAATATTAAGATCAGTCGTACGATCATTTCTACGAACTTCTTAGGCTTACGATGCTTTTGGGAAACGCAGCCCAGATCAGTTTGATTCATTGATGAACCATTCAGAATGATTCTGGATCATGCACTGAAAAGACCTGGCCCATATTGATTTGTATAGAAAATGAGGCACTTTTATGATGCAATTATGTTTTGTTTTTTCATCCCTTTTCAAAGAATGATTTACATCTTGTTAACGTAACAGTGATGAAGCAAGAAGCAAGCCAGTCATAAAAGTTAGGAAAAACACAAAGATTGCAGTAAATAATGTTAGAATTGTTTTGTATTATAGATTTGTATTATTTCTTGCACATCACTAAGCAGTCTATAAGTGAAGTTTATATAATCTGAACTAGGACTGCACAATATTGGGGAAAAAAACATATATTGCAATATAAATACAATTTGACCAGCTGACTTGAATACCTATATTTGCAAAGAATTCATAATTTCAGATTACTTGGGATGATTTTGTGGGGTATCTGCATAAAATATAACAAACAAATTATAAGCATACATAAATACAACAGAGCAAAGTTACAAACAAAATAAACAGTGCTTTATAGTTTTCTGGAGAATCTTAACAGAATTCAGAAGTAAATTAAATAACCAAATGTAAAATAACACTTTATAGTCTTCCTGTATGCACAATTAATTTTTAAGCTACAAATTTTATAATTACTTTTGTCCAAATGGCTTAAATTAGCTTGAAATTCTTACACATAAGAGGTGATAGAACTCATGCAAGTGATAAACTTTAAGGATAAAATACACTATATTCTAATCTGAACTGTAGTGTTTGGTCAACTATAATCCTAACTTGACATTGCAGATCTTGTGATGTGACTAATGCGGGTTCGCACATTGCAATAATGATGCTGAATTATATATGTTTTCCTCTCACTTTTCTATAGTCATTTATTACTATGTATCTCAGGTGGTGAAGATGAGCGTGAGTCCAGTTATCAGATTACCAAAACTTATTCAAATTACTTTCAAGCTCCTAAGTTCTCCAAGGTCCTTAATGTTTTTTTGTTTTTTCTTTTTCTTTTTTTGAAGAGATCAGCTTTCTCACGACATGATCTGCTACATGGAACGAACAAGTCTAATAATGTTCTGTGGCACGAGGCCAATCCCAACTAGGGACATGAAAGCAAGCACTCCATCTTGGCCTCTGTTCAATGAAAACAAACAAGCAGAAGAGACCACATCCTTTCCCAAAGAGAACTTAAGAAATAAAAGTGAGAGGATCATACGTTTATCTCTGAATATCTGTGAGGATCACACAACCGCAAACACACAACAGACAAACACCAGCACAAAGACTCATGTTTTATTCAGCTGTCCAGTCAACCAGAGTTCACTGCAATTGTTGCCTCGAGCAAATATGTTATGCCACCTTTGTGGTGACACATACGAGTGATGGAACTATTCTGTTGAAAAATGATTTGAGGATGTTTATTCAACTTTGATTTGATTTCACTGTATGCTCTAGTCAAGTTCACAGCGGCTGTAAGCCTTGATTTACACTAGTTGACTTCAGCTGTCTGACTGAAAGAACCAGTAAGTCTACATTGTGTAAATAGGTGCAGCTTTTTATATGGACAGTGGTAAATCTATCTAAATTTTTTAACAATAAAAGATTTTAAAATGTTTGCAGAAACTGTGGTTGACTGGTCCTGATAAAGCCTACCTGGTTTTTAAGCGGATGAGAGAAACCTCAGAAACTACAATCTGTTCAGTATAATATCATTAGGACATAAAAAATATTCATTTTCAAATATTGAACTGTGCAAAAAGTTCAAAATTATTAGCAAATGGTTGATGCAGTTTAAAATCCCGATCCCACAATTTGTATGGTAATATGGCCAGAAGTAGTGATGAATATTGATGAGTACTGCATGTACTAAACAGGTTGTACTACAAACTGAATTATACAATTCAATCATATAACAAAAAACAACAAAAACATTCTTTATGCACAACAATGTGACTACAAAAACACAACATGGAATAGATACAAAACAGTGTCTGATTTACATATAAATAGGTAAACTTTTAAAGGTTTATTTTTTCTATTAGGATGAATTAATTAATGTTAAATAATGTATTTACAAGCAAAAAAACTAATAATAACATTTTTGCAACATTTATTAATCATAGTTCATTGCAAAGATGAATAAACACTGTAATAAATGCATTGTTCATTGTTCGAACATTAAAGTAGTACATTAACATTAACGAAGCCTTGTTAACGCTAATGACATGTTTATTGCTAGTTCTCGTTAGCTCAGCTCCGTTAAAATGTATGCTAGGTATATTATTGAAATTAACGTTCAACCAAATTAATAAATGTCTTTACATTCTTCTTAAAGTTAATAAAGAGCTTGTATTTGTTAGTAACGATCTTCGTTAATGCTAATCTTTTTGAAAATCAACATTATGAGCGGATCTTTACATCCACAATTATTCTTAAAGGAGTATTATGAACAAACAAGCAAACATTTTACTTACCCCGACCCCCATTTTTGCTTGTGAGCAGCGACTGTTCTACTTGAAGTTGACTTTGAAAGAGCCTTTCAGAAGTGTGAGCAGACCATCAGAAGATCAGCGCGTCTGAGGAAAACTCAGCTAACAGCACAGACTCAATCACATGTCTGTGAAGAAACTCAACGACCAATAGGAACAGAGCAAACCGTGTGCTGTGCGTGCAAGAGAGGAGGGAAGGTTTGGATTCAGAGCGTTCCCCCGATGCATGTTTATTACTGCTAATTTACCAATAGGCAATGACAAAGTTGGCTGCAGTGTCTAGGAAATTGAACAAACAACTGAGGTAATATTTTAGTTTGATGGATCCCTTACATTAGACGCTGTGTGTGCTTGCAGCATCCTCGCATTGTTAGAAGAATGCCTAAAAGTGATAGTACTACAATTAATTAAAGGCATAGTACACGCATAACTTAAATATGTATTAATTTACTCTCTCTCTCTCTCTCTCTCTCTCTCTCTCTCTCTCTCTCTCTCTCTCTCTCTCTCTCTCTCTCTCTCTCTCAAGAGTATAAACCTTTATAAGTTTCTTTTTGTCAAACAAAGAAAGATATTCTAAAGAAACAAACCACTAACTTCCATTGATGGAAAACAAATACTGTGTGTGAAAGTCGTTACAGGTTTCTAACATTTTCAAAATGTTTTCCTTGTGTGTTTAACAGAAGAGACAAATTCATGAAAGGTTTGAAACAAAACGGTGAACTATCCCTTTAAATTATTCTGTTTTGCTTCTCACCCACAAGATTTGTTGTTTCCCCAAAGACTATTTTTAAGAGTGAGGAATTGTTTAATGAAAAAAGATCTTTTCAAGTATAATGAGATGATTAAATACTGTAGTAAATGTATTGTTTATTCATGTTAGTAAATACATTAACATTAACTAATACAGTTAACTTTATTGACATCTGTTTATTGCTAGTTTGTGTAAGCTCAGCTCCATTAAAAATGTATGCTAGTTTCATTATTGAAATCAACGTTAAATAAAATAAATAAATGCCATTCTATTCTTTATCGTAATGTTAAGATGAAGCTTTTTTTAAGGTTTTCAACATTTTCCAAAATATCTTCCTTTTGTGCTTAACAGAAGAAAGAAACTTGTGAAAAGTTTGAAACAAGTAAAAAGTGAACTATACCTGAAAACCGTACTGTTTTGCTCACCCACAGGATTTTTTAGTTTCCACAAAAAGTGAAGAAATTTTTAATGATAATTTATCTTTTCATGTAGAATCAGAAGTAAAACTATTTATGCTAATAAGAAACCTATTTAACAGTGTAGCGTGGACAAAAACTCACACGTGAGCTGATTGTTAACATCAGAGAGAGGATGCATGTGTTTTGTTCATCAAAATGCCTGTTTTTATCCAGAATGTTGTAACCTGAACAAAAATGTTGGAATCAAACAGCATTAGCACATGCAAGTTTATGCCAGCACATTTTGGTCATTATGCAATAAAAAGCTTGTGTGCCAGACTGCCATAAATGTGCTCCATTTGCTGAAGCTGTGAATAATAATGGTCACACTGCTGTTAGTAAAAAAGTGTCTTGCACAGACACTTCATTGTATAGTTTGGAGCTACAGGTATTGATTTTGTTTTATGTTAATAACAACAACAACACCAACAACAATAATAATAATAATTCATTACATTTATATAGTGCAGGGGTGGCCAACCCTGTTCCTGGAGAGCCACCTTCCTGCAGATTTCAGTTGCAACCCATATTAGACACACCTGCCTGTAATTATCTCGTGGTGTTCAGGTCCTAGTTAATTGGTCCAGGTGTGTTTGATATGGGTTGCAACTGAAATCTGCAGGAAGGTGGCTCTCCAGGAACAGGGTTGGCCATCCCTGATATAGGTTGCGTCCGAAACCGCCTACTACTCAGTAGGTACTGCATTTGAATTTAAACGTACTACTCGGCCATTAGAAAAGTACGTTCTATATCGTATGAATGTGAAAAGTATGAATGGAATTCGGACGTACTACATCCGCCATTTTGTCATGGTCATGTGACCTACCTGCGTCAGTTGCGTCGCCTCACTTCCATTCATGAATTCTCTCTCGGGGCATTATGGGATAGCGCAGCGTGCATGGGATGCGCACTTCAGAATCTCGCCGGAAGTAGTAAGTCATCCGGGTACTTCTCACCTACTGATTTTCGAATTCTATGAATTCGGACACTACTCGGCTCGCATACTGATTTTAGCATACTATATAGTATGGAAGTATGCAGTTTCGGACGCAGCCATAGTGCTTTTCTGGCCACTTTGACCTTTGATCTCCTCATCCACCACCAGTGTGCAGCATCCACCTGGATGACGCGATGGCAGTCATATTGCACACCAGCTGATTGTTAGAGAGAAGGAGGGATGAAGTCAATTATGATGGTTAGGAGGCCATGAAAGAGGCAAATGAACAAAGAACATTCTGGGATTTTTAACAACCACAGAGAGTCGGGACCTCATTCGAAAGACAGTACTCAATGAGCAGTATAGCATCCCATTCACTATACTAGAGAATTAGGACCCACACAAAGCACAAATTGAGCACCCCCTGCTGGTTTCACTAACACCTATGTGTTTTTCCATGTGGTCTCCCATCCAGGTACTGACCAGGCACAGCCCTGCTTAGGTTCAGAGGGCAGCCAAGTGAGAGTTGCTGAGGCTAGCTGCCAACATATGGTTTTGCCGTTGGCTGCAAAATAAAGTACAATTTTGCTAAATAAAATAAATACAATTAGATTTTTGTTCAAACTAATTAAAATGAGCGGAAACAACATAATTATTTAGTTTTTTGGAGCACAACTTTATTGTTTTATGTTCAATCTACTTAACTTTGTAAAAACGATTAGTCAATATCCTCAATATCCTTATATTGCCGATATCCTATGTGCGCAACCCAGCATTTTTTACAGTGGTGATTATTATTAATAAATTGTAAACAACAACAAGAGATATTACGAGATAAAACAATATATATTGATGTGTAGAATCTACAATGATTGCTGTTTTATAATATAAATCATCTCCTGATCACCATTTTTGTCAAAGGGACAAAAAAAATCATCACTTGGTTTTTGCTTTGCATGTTTTAGACCGCTTACAAGGAATCCATGACAACGTGGGTAACCAAGATCAGTGCCAGGAAACCTGCATGCAGCTATAACATATAATCCTGCTATGTAGCTTTACTCTGGAGCTGGTAAGTACAAGTAAGTCATCATATATAACATTATATAGGTATTATGCAACGTCACAATTTTTTTATATCTGAACACTATTGAATTTTAAAGCCGCTGGTCTGTAAATCTAAACACTTAACATGAGGTCTTAGGCTGAATTATGCAAGAGCTTTTTGGCGGTAATCTGTGTATACAGCAGTAAGCCATGCTTTTCTGTCTCCAAACATTCTTAAATGCCTGAGAAATATTGGTCACATCACATGCAAGATAAAGAGCCGTGGATGTTGTGAAGCGAGGCTATTGGGTTTTCCAATTTTATTTGATCCATGGCTTTTATTTTGCCTGTGATTGCGAATGGTCGTATCACTCAAGCCTCTGTGTGGTGTTTTATCTGTTTATACCAGATGATACCTTAGACAAATGCATTGTAATTCTCCCCTTTCAGTCCCTTTGATCTGATCACAAATCCATTAAAGGTATTTTCTCTCATTGGGACATATCAAAGACCCGCTCTGTTCTCTCTTGATCTCCGTCCGGCTTGCATTCACCTTCATTTCAGATCTCCAAAAGAAGCCTAATAATAGACCACACACACCGTATTAAACGGGTCAGGTACCCTGTCTTTTAAATGGATCCTGTTGTATACAAACACGAATGTGTCAAGACCAGGTTTCAGATAACACCATCCATAACAGGACTGGGAAACAATGGCCTCAGTAACGCTCCTGACGGCTGATGGAGAAGCTATTTGTTCTTTCCTAGAAAAGCATTATAGCTCTGCCTGGGATTCTATGACCTTGTTTTTGTGATACCTGTTTATAATGGCACGTCAAAACCTGTTAGGCCAATGGAGACATTCATTATTTGGGATGCAACATTAGGTACAGCATGTCAGCAAACAGGTTTGACAAAATCCGACTTTATAAAACTAGAACAGATGGGTGTAGGCTGTGAAACAAGAAAGTATATTTTAGTTATTTTAACGTACAGTATGTGTCTTTGACTTGTCTTAACAAGTTTTGGATTTTGAAGTTCATACATTTAAAATCATGACTCCGGACCACAAAACCAGTCATAAGTGTCTGAATGATGAATGGGTTGTTAAGATTATAGTTGGCTGAGATACAGAACAGATCTGCAATATAAGGGGTTTAACAAATTTAAATACTGGGAAAATCACGTTGAAGCTGTTTAAATTAAGTGTTTAGCAATACTTATTACAAGCCAAAAATTGATATATAATAAAATATTTTTTATATTTTTGTAGTAGGAAATTTACAAGTTGTTTTAATGGATCATAAAATTTACTAAATATTCTAATTATGTTTGGCATGAAAGAAAGATTTTGTCAGCCATTTTGACTAGTTAAATGTACTTTTGGCTATATTTTTGTCCATACCTATGAAACATAAGAGATTTGTGGTCTAAGTTGACAAATATAATGAATACGTAATCACTGTCTTGACAACTGAAACAAGGGTTGTTTTCAAGTTTAGTTTGCTCATGTTTTAAAGGCAGCAGATTAACTCTTGTTTCTAAGGTTATTATATAAATATTTTTTGAACACTACCTGGCAAAAGGCTTGTCGCCTATCCAGGTTTTAGAAACAACAAATAATAGCTTGTCTTCTAGTTGAACATTTGGTATCAGAAGTGGCTGACATGAAAGGCAAATGCCTCAAGATTATGCAATAATGTACAGTATATAAAGTCATGGTGAAGTGGAAAAAGAATTGATATAGTTCATGACTCTCATGAGCTTGGACGACTGCATCTATGCATCTCTACAACGACTCAAATAACGTA